GTTGTGAAGCTCCTGAAGATGCTTTTGGAAATGGAACTTAGGTCTTGCATTACTATGTGATTTTACAAATGTTATCCCATAAAAATGCAACTAAAATATAAAATACTTTGAATTTAGTGGTCTGCTTATCTACATATGTGCTTTTCTTTATCTGAAATTATTTCACTAAAGCACCTTTGCGCGAGATAAATCTACGTCTGAAGTACCAGATTTCAGAGGCATGGAGAAGTAGGTAATTGCTGAATAAATGAGACAAAGGAGCATGTCCTGAACAAAGGAGAAGAACTCTGTCATACATTTCAGAGTGGGAAGCTCTGTTTCCTCTTTTGCTACTTGGGACTTGGTTCTCCTAGCGCACATGTTCCACTCCAGTTGCCCAGCTATTGTCTTCTTCATCTGAAAGACAACCCCTCTGTTACAATACAGTGGGTATTTGTGATTCCAAGTAGAGACTGGTTTCTGTCAGCAGCTTTTTTTCCTTCAAAAGCAAGAAAGGAAAAGGTAGCTAATATTAAAAGTTGGGGTAAAACCATGTTTTTCTTCAAAGAGTAAGTAGTTTACAAAGTTGGGGTATACAAGGAGTTTACTGCTGAGTGACTTCTAGAGAACACAGGAGTGTTCAGCTGCTGCTGAAATTTGGGCTAAAAGGGTGCCTGACTGTCATTCTTCAATGCTTTTAGGTATGAGAGGCTGAAATTTTCTGTGCCCTTAAAAATTATGAACTCCGAGGATTAACCTGAAACAGAGGCAGTAAAAGCAGAAGCTATTCGGGTCCCTCTCCCCATATTTGTCAATAAACCTCAGTCATGGCCCGTGATACTCTTGGTATCCCAGTCTTGTGGTGTTTGCATAAGCACTGTCAGTACCTAAGTTCTGTGCTGATTTTCTGTCATTCAGATAAATACCTTCAGAGTTAGGTTGAGACCACCAAAATCTTTTCATCTGTGTATTTGCTCAGACTAGCAATATCTTAAAATTGTAGCATATTGCTGTGCCACTATTTATCTCACCACAGTCGTCTTAAACATTTCTCCTCCACATAAATTATTGGCTCCAGTACTCTTCCTCTGTTATGCATAAGCTGGGAAGTAACTCTCCCTAGGGAGACACTGTTCCAAACAAAATTAAAGTAAATTCATGTTATTAGAAATCTTGAGAGGGTAAGGACTGTGTTTTTGTTTAGTGCCTGTGAGTGACTGTAAAGGGATATGTGTTCATGTTGGATTAGTCCTACTGCAATAAAAATAATAGTAAGCCTTAGGACGCATCAGCAGCATCTCATTTTTGGTCTTCCTTTTGACTATGATCCAGTTAATTTTCCAGACATAACCACTCATCTGTTTGACAGTAGCTGAGAGAAATTACATCCTACATTTTTTTTTCAGGTCTTACAGTCAGATCTGTCTTTTGGTATTTCTTGCAGGTGCTTTGGGGTGATAGGCCTGATCTCCATCATTGTTATCTCAGTTTGCTCAGGAAAAGAATGTTTATGCCACTTGAAAGTGCGAAGCTTCATAGCAGTTCTCAAGAGAGTCTCAAAAGCAAGTCCGGTAACGATTGGGGACTTTCTGGGATTAGTTACTGAATTAGTATCAATCAGTAGACACAATAGTTTTCAAAAGAATTTTTGTAACTGTCCTTATAAAAGCATTAGGCATTCATATCATAAAATGAAGATGAACTGATTGCATTTGTCAGATTACATTTTGTAAGAAGCAATAGAGACTTCAAGACGCATCACCTAGTTTTCTGCTTGCAAAAAATGCCAAAGTATTTTTGTAGGAAGGCAGGTATTCTGCTAGATTGTAGTAAGATCCACTAGGCACTAGACACATAAAATAAAATAGAGACAGAGATTTGTAGATGATAAGCTTCTTTTACTTTAGTACAATTAGATTGAAAAACTGTCTGCAAAACATAGGTTCTCCTTAAGCATCTGTTCAACAGAGTTCCAGTTCAGATCAACACATCAGGCGGTGTATGATTCCCAGCCAAACACCTTGTTAAATACTTGCAGGATTTCCCATAGCGGATCTTACTTTAATCAAATAATTCAAACGTTTCTTTTGTAAGTACAATAGAAGGGCAGGGCTTGTGTTTACAAAGTATTCAATATGGAAATCCTGTATTAATTGAGGTATGTTTACTTCACTTAGGACAGTGTCCACATAGTAACTCTTTAAATAAAAGGTCTTTTGCTGTTGCCGGTTCCAGAGAGGCAATCACATGCAATGCTAACCCGTCAGAAAATCATAAGGAAACGACTTCAAGAGATGTGCAGTATAGGCAGCAGAGATGTTCCTAGCTAAAGAAAACAACTTCATGGGTGATTTTCTCACAGTGGGTGTAAAAGAGTATAATTTATAAAAAGTAGTTGTATCCCTATGGAAAATACTAAATAAAGAGGCTGTGTCTTTCTCAGTCTATTTCTGGAGTGATTAGCACAATCAGTGCCAAATATTGTCTTTTTCTAATACATGAATTCATCTAAACTGTGCTTTAAATTATTATCTTTCTAAGGCAGCAGATGTATTTTCTGTGAGTAAACATGCTGTGCTTCTACCCAGCCCAGTGCAGGATCTGGGGCTTTTATGATTTACTGTAAAGCATTTAGAGTTTCACATAAAGAGTGTATAAAAAAGAAAGATAATACTATTACTCAATGATAATATTATTACTCAGTAATACGTAACCAGAATTGTGCTCCTCTGAGTTCCTTACTGTGCTGTGCCAGAAAATGCTGGAATCAAAATAAGCCACATACAGAAGAATTAAACAGAGAATCAATGTTTTCCTCCACAGCGAGTTGGAAATTACATTTGTTTCTATGTTTAATACAGTGAAATATTTTTTTCCTTTTTTTGCTGAATTATAACTCTGCTATAGTTGAAAATATATTTTTACCAGTGCATTAAATGTCTGGCAAAAAGGATGATTTTGAACATTTTTAGGTAAATGTAGGTCAATGCAAAGGAATCATACAGTTGGAAATATTTTCCAGTGTTTATGTTCAGATGTTCAGACCTGTCTGGCTCCTCTCTGTTTGCATGTGTTGAGGTTATAGGCAGTCCAGCTACATTCCACATTGATTTATATAAATATATTGCAGATTATTAACCTGCAGCCAAATACCACCAAATTTCACTTTTCAGGAAGCTTTGTGACTTTTCAGAAAACTTATTTACTGTTTACAGGACATGTATACCCCATTGGGGGAATCTTAGAGAACAGTATTTGTCTTTATGAGAAACGTGCCAAGACATTTTCTGTCACAGTCAGTTTCATTAACTTATATGATTATTACACATTAAGTACAGATTAGTCTTCTAGTAGAGGTAGGATGACAGTCGTTCCATGTTCTGGAACTCCAGTTCCCAAATTATTACTTGCTGAAAAGCTTCCTTAAGCTAAAAAGAATGTGCATGCATCCATTTTGAGAACATGGTGGCTAATAAATTTACAACTGACCAAAGATAATTTAGGAAATGCTGTTAAAGCCTAAACATGGTAAATGTCAAGTGAAAACCTGGATTACAGTCTTCACAGGTGGTTATGTCAATTCTAGTTTTCCCTTGCTTTGTGAAATATATTGAGATTTAAGGTAAGAAGTAAAAACTCAGTAGTAAGTGTTGTCCTAGTCTGTTTGTCAGAGGTCAGCTGTGAAAAGCGGGGACCCCCAAGGCGTTGTGTGTGATCAGTTGTCTTTAGATCCTCCATATGAAGCCTTTAGTACTCAGACAAAGAACAAAATTATTACTTGATAATGTTATCAGAGATCCTGCACTTCACACAAAGTAGGGAAGCAGTTATCCTAAGTAAGAGGATGAAACATACATATAATACAACAGTGTCATTGCTGTGGTGTTGAAAAAAATAAGCCATAGTATCAACACAACTTTGGTCTGTTACCAGTAATAGATTCTTCAGTTAAATTGTATAGACCTTTTTCTCAATAACTGCATTCATTCTTTTTAAATCTACTGTCACCTAGTAAAAATAGTGATGGATTTTCTGCCTTGCTTCAGAGAGCAATCTGATTTGTACAGTATGAAATTAAATGAATAAACACATTAGTAAAGTATGTGAGGAGGGAAGAAACGTCCTTCCAGCTGTTAAATGCTTTCCTATGGGGGTTTTATAGAAGTGGGCCTTGAGGAAGGCTGGTGAAAGTCACTAGTATAAGTATAGGTGTGAAGCATAGAAGGAGGGCAGATGTTTTTGAAAAAGATAAAACAATGATTAAAGCTGGTATGTAGATAAAGTGGAGAACATGAGAATAATCATGATTAAAAAGAAAAACAATAGAAAATAGTGTTCAGATAGGAATGTGGCATTATGAAGAGCTTTGTAAATTCGCTTGACGTTGTGCAACAAGGTGAAATAATAAAGAAGTTTCAGTAAAAGAATGACAGGAAGTGATGAGAGAAGTAGTGACATCTTGTGCACAAAGCTTTTTTCCAAACTGTATCCTGACTTTGAAGGTATTCCTTGCATCCAGGAATTTACAAAAGTAATCAGCAAAAAATTCTGTTTCTGCCAAAGGGGATAAAGCTATGTAATGGTGAACATGGGAGTTACATGGGAAGAAACTGAAGGGGCACATAAACACTGTATTTTTTCTCAAAAGTGTTTCTCACTTTTTTTGTTTTTTTAATGCCGACAAGTGCTGCAGCATAGAATGTGGATAAATATCACAATAACTTTCTGTATTAACTCTTGTTACTGTGTCAAAAAAATTTTTTTTCATGTGATTATTTTACATTGAACAGCTGATGAATTCTTAATTCAGTTTCAGAATTCACACATGAAAGACCAAGATGGTATTTTTGATATATCAACCATTATCTGATGAATCGAGAGCTCAGAGGTTCGACTACTTTTGGAAAGCTCCTTTTCCCATTCTATATAGTGTAAAAAATTTAGATAGACATGCATGAGCTGCAAGATATGTATGTCTGTAGTGGTTCCTGTATACTTACCTCCTCTTTTCTTCTTCTCAGATTGTTTGATGTGTGCACTGTGTCACGAACAGACAGAGAGACCAAGTTAACGTTAGTGTTTGAACATGTGGATCAAGACTTGACTACTTACTTGGATAAAGTTCCAGAGCCTGGAGTGCCTACTGAAACTATAAAGGTATTTAAGGAGAAAGATTTTGGATATTTTCAGAGATTAATCAGAAAGACAAAGATGATTCTCTTGTTGTTTAGGCTGAGACTACTTGAATCTTCCCTAAAAGGTGTCTGTTTGAGTGCTGGATATTGTTAGAATGGATAAAATAAATCTTGTGCTCCTATCCCTTTCCCTTTGCCTTTTGTTTCATGCCCCTCTTTCCAGAACAGTTTCCATACATTCCAAGAGCAAGAAATGTTCATCATGGACCTGCAGTCTGTAGAGGATGGGCTCAAGGACAGGGGTAGTCCTGACCAGTTGTTGTAGAAGCTGGAAAGGCTCTCAGTAACTGGGAGGATGATCATGACGTTTTCCTGTCATATTATCTTTTACTGTGCCATCTGTAAGGGAGGACTTCTTCCCAGGAGAGGATGTGCTTGCATTATTGGTAGTAAAACACATATAGCAACTTCTCTTCTTTCCTGGGAGTTTCACAGCAAAGTGGCACATTGAGGATGATAGCTTGAAATGTTTAACAAAGTTTATGCCTGGGAAGAGAAGCTGAGAGATTGATGTTTCTACGTTTTGTCTGTGTCTGTTTAACATTTCTTTTGATTTTTATATTTTCGTGAGGAAAAATAATTTATGCTTTCAGAGATGGATTATTTTACATTTGTATAAGTACTTTGTGGAAGTATGTTGTGTCATCTTAGTCTGGCAAAGGTCCTGAAGGAGGAAAAGAAAACATGAAACCCATTTGAAATTCAGTTGTTTTAATAATTTGTTTAACAGCTTCAAGGAGTTGTTTGATCTTTCAGTTAGAAATTAGAACTAAAACAGATAAAGATCTGTTCACTTGTATCAAAGTCACATATGTATAATGTCAGTTCCAGCAACCATGGTTTTTAATGAACCTTTGTGGATAAAATAAAATTTTTGAAAAATGGTTACAACTTTGATGGAGTCCCAGCAGAAGACTGGAATGTACATATTAGATTGGTAGGACTATTTTACAATAATGCTATTAAAGTTCTACTTCCTCCTGGGACTTTGAAGCTATCTAAGTAAACTGTATTTCAACATAACTAACATTGTGAAAATGATGTGCAAGGTGACTGGCATATTATCTAACTAAACATATTGAAATTGAATGACCAGTCCTCTGAAATCTCAATTTGAAATATCTTTTGAGCTGTGTTTCGTTTAAATGAAATAGAAGATATGAGCAGTGTATTAAATATTTGTGATTTCCGAAACCCCTGTTCTAAAATTGCACTGTTAGACTGTAGTATGTATGCGTGAATATACATTTCGTGGAGATTATATACTAATGGAGGAAATTGTTGTGACTACTTTTGAAAAGCACTATTCTGCATATATGGTTTGCTAGTTCAAGCCGGTTGCTATATCTGATAATTTGGCACAATAAAAGAGAAATTTAGCCACACAGAAACAAGGAGTAGCAATTTTGGTCTTTTATATACAGTGCAGGTTCCACTGCAGTCAGTGAAATTAGTGACTGTAAAATTCAGCTTGTGGTACATACATATCTTTTTAAATGGGTGAGGAAAAATGTAAAATTACTGTTTACTTGTTCGTTGCTATTGATTTCAACATCTGCACAGTAGCTGATGTGTTTTTTCTTGAATCCTCTTTGGCACAGGAAAAAAGAGTTTAAGTTGCACCCTGTTGCTTCATGGTTTATGTCAAAACACTCAGTTTATGGAGGTACTTTTGCTGATACAGGGCTGATCACATGAAGAAGGGTCTCAAGGTTTATTTTTAATACGTTTTGATACCTTTCTAATGATGATCTTTATGGATATTCCTCATAGAAACTGAAGCAAACCATAGTTCTCCTGGCTACAGGGGAATCCTGCCATTCTGTAACAGCTGAGCATTTAACCCAGAGCACATACATCGTTAAATGCCTAATCTGACTTTTTATAGTTTGGCTTTTGAGGTTAATATGGATTTGTACTTCATTTATTTTCCAGAATTGCAGACAATTTGTGTAGAGTATTTCCCCTCACCGCTAGCACAGTACAAAACAACTACCTGTATTGTAAGACCATCTGTTAAAGTTCTGCATGTGTCAGCAACACAGAGGTGCCAAATGAGCCGAGTAAGCTCTGGATAGCTTGATGTTGAAGAATCTAGTATACCTCTTTGGCACCATAGTTTAAAATCAACAATTGTTAGTAGAACTTAAATGACATAAAATTACTATGAGAGAATTATCAGCCCCAAAAGATCTTTTCTGTGTGAATTGGCTCGCATCATTACATAACATTTAGGGAAGCGAGGCTTGGCTTTTGCCGGTTTAGGGCATGCTAGGAATAAAGGAATATAAGTGACACCAGGACCACTTTAAGAATTTCATTTGTGTTTTGCAGGTAGTAGTCAGACCATAGCAGTTCAGAGAAACTAACCATATTGATCATTTAAACACAATTAGTGCTTTTGTCTTAATGCTGCTCAGCAATGGCTTTCTAATGCCTAGTGCCCTGCAGTAAGAGTCACCCCAGAGGGTGTTTTAGGAAGATATAGACAGGTGCCCATAACATGACAGACGTAATTTTCCTATGAGACATTGCCCGGTAGTGGGAATACTTACCTAGGATATAGGGCATCCCCTCCCTGTTGCCAGGAGCATGAATGCTCTAGTCCATTTTTCTAGCTCTGGCTCTGGCTACTGAGTTCTAGGTTATTTTGGACAGTGGTATTTTAAATCTTTTCTGGTGTAGCTCTTCCATTATTTTTTAATGGAGTATACTTTGGGCCAGCGAGTTGGAGAACGCTACTCTAAATACTTTTGAAAGTTCACTTTTGAAAGATAACTATATTCAGCCCTTAATTTGATTAATAAACCTTTGTAATTACTGGATTGTAGTCATGCTCACCCTTGCTGGCTTCCTCTGTCCGACCTGATTAATATATGTTCCATATGGCATGAATCAGAATCAGCAATGACAATGTCTTCCTTCTTTCCTCTCTGCCCATCGTCTCCTCCCTTCTTTTCTTCTTGGGATACTCTTTAACTTTAGGACAGTTTATGTAGAAATGGAAGGTATGAGTTCAGTTTCCTTCGGACACAGCTGTTAGTCATGCACAGGTCCTTTGTAACGTTAATGATGTTAGCAGTTGAGCCTCGACAGACTGGGCTCATTAGAAACTTTTGTTAGTTGACATAAGGGTAATGGAAATGGGAATGACACGTCTCTGCCACAGAAAGATTATTTTTTTTAAATAGTTAACAGACCACGGAAGCATTTTTATGTTTTAGCCTTTGGGACTGAGGCATGTTTAAGCTGCGTGGTCACATTTTGTTCTGATGCTTGTGGGACTGGCATGGGTTCTTTGAAGGTCCTTCCAGTCATCTTGTTCTGCCAGTCCAGAGAGTCTGTAAGAATGAGAGGGGACAGCAGACTGTTACTGAGGTTCTTTAATTTTAGTAATGAGCAAAGTTAACTTTGTAAACTAATGTCATTTTAAGTAAACCTGTGGCTTCTTTCAGTGGTTTTCTTACAGTTGATCAGAATTTAGGCTACCCAAACTATATGTGCTAACAGGGCTGTTGTGCCTGTTTCAATCTGACAGTCAGCAGAGGAGGGAACAGAACAAAGGTCTTCAGTATAGCAGGTGCATATGTTATCTATCATGGGATGTTAGAAGAACTGGGAATGTGTTTCTACCCAGGTCTGTGATCTGTGAATCATTATTGTATTCCCCCCAGCCTTGAACAGTGCAGCCAAATCACAGTGAGTGCTGGTTTAATGTATATGTTTTCTCTGCTATGTCCTTGTTCCTCACCCAAGTGAATGGCTTCTGTGAATGTTTTTTGGTTTCTTCTTTGCATAGGAAGCCTAGATACCCATCTGATTCAGGTATACAGATTTTGGTATTTAAATGCCTGAAATTGAGAAAGTACAGTGATGACCTAATTTCCTTTTGTGGGCTTATCTGAAAGTAGCCATAAATTGAATTCTAAAATATTAGCCCCATTCATAGAATAAATGTTGCTGTTGTGTCCATGTGCATTTGCTGTAATTTACATTACCTGCTATCAAATCAGGCTGGCTGGTCACATCTTTGCAAGACACTTAGGAAATTAATATGAAGATACTGATTCTCAGAAAGCAAACGAGTGTTCGGTGTTGTGAGGTGACTCATCAGCCATCTGCCATGGTTGTACCTACTCAGTTGATCACGTATGAGATGTGGAGCAGATGTCACACAATCATGCAATTCTGAAAATAAAACAAGATATTCCAGGAAAACATCTTTGCCAGTACTGAGAGTCTTCAGAGTGTGGCTGTATTTAACAACATCAAAGCTAAAAGTCACTAAGAAAAGAACCTGCTCGAATTAATAAGAAAGATACTAGGAGAAGAGCTGTTAGTCATGTTTTCCTGTCAGTACTTTCGTGGTAAAGAAAGAAGCAAAACTGAGTGAGGAATTTAGAGTGTACAAATAGTGGATCAGATCCCCCAGATGATACTAAGAGGTGTAAATCCATTAGCCTTAGTGAAATGGTGCCCATTTACAGCTGCTAAGGATTTTACTTTTATGGATTATTTTGCAAGTTTTATTCTGAATCCATATAATAAATTAAAGAGTTGCCACTATAAATAAATTTTTTTAAAAAGGGCTGAATGGATACGTCGTTCTGGGATAAATCTTTTTTTTTTCTCTGTTATCCTACTCCGGACTGCTTTATGAAAGAGTAGCAGGAAAGAGAGCAGGTGCCTTGCAAAAATGGTGGCTCTGAAGGAACTAAACATTAAAAAGTGGATATTCTCCAGTGAGTGGTGGGTCCTGCTGTTGCAGGTGGTGTAATTTCTTTCCCATACCATACTGTATGTAGAGACACAGCCACATCTCTTGTGGCTGGTAGCAGGTAGTCTGACCAAGGAGTTAGGAGAAGTCATGAATAAAGGGACTGCTGAGCACAGGATTTTATGCAATATAATGTTGTATCCATACAGTTACTTCTTCAGCATGGACCTTTTTATTGTTAGTGT